GGGTTTCTCTCCAATATGAATTCTCTTGTGGTAAGTGAGGTTTGAGGATAAGCTAAAGGCTTTGCCACATTCTTTACATGTGTATGGTCTCTCTCCAGTATGAATTCTCTTGTGGGAAATGAGGTTTGAGATTAAGCTAAAGGCTTTGCCACATTCTTCACATATGTGGGGTCTCTCTCCAGTATGAACTCTCCTGTGGTTAGCAAGATTTGAGGACCGGCTAAAGGCTTTGCCACATTCTTCACATGTGTAGGGTCTCTCTCCAGTATGAACTCTCCTGTGGTTAGCAAGGTTTGAGGACTGGCTAAAGGCTTTGCCACATTCTTCACATGTGTAGGGTCTCTCTCCAGTATGAACTCTCCTGTGGTTAGCAAGGTTTGAGGACCGGCTAAAGGCTTTGCCACATTCTTCACATGTGTAGGGTCTCTCTCTAGTATGAACTCTCTTGCGGTCAGTAAGGATTGTGGAGCAGCTGAAGGCTTTGCCACATTCTTCACATGTGTACTGTTTCTCTCCAGTAAGAATTCTTTTATGTTTAGTGAGGGTTGAGGACCAGCTAAAAGTTTTGCCACATTCCTCACATCTGCAGGGTTTTTCTCCAGTATGAATTCTTTTATGTTTAGTAGGGGTTGAGAAGCAGTTAAATGATTTGCTGCATTCTTCACATTTGTAGGCATTCTCTCTATTATGAATTATCTGATGTTGATTTAGGTGTGAAAGCATGCAAAATGACTGGCCATAGTTTTTACATTTGAAATGTTTCCTTTCAGTATGTCTTGTCTTATGCCTATTAGAATTTGAAAATTTACCAAAGATTTTGACATATTTATGAGTCTGAAATATTTTGTTATGTGTAGTTGACAAACATTGATTAACTTCATTATAACTTCTTTTGTGCACCTCACAGTCACCCACACTTTCATTGCATTTTTTAAATTGTAAATTCTCATGTCCACATATCTTCTTGGTATTACTTTTTCCGTATTTTCTTGGTATTGCTTTTTGGAGTGAATCCTTTATGCCTTTATCTGGCTGAAGGTCTTGGGTAAAATATGAATACATAACTGAAAGACATAAAAATTGCAACTGACTCCACTTAATAGACTCAGATAAATATACTTTAAAAATCAAATGCATAAAATTATACCAGGTACATTAGCAAAATGGCATATTAAAATACCACAGGCTGTAATTTCTTTATAGATGTATAAACTAACAAAAACAGTGATCAAAATATCTCCATTGGAAATTTATAAATAAAGTGTGTGCACCAGATAAGCACAATGCCAAGAGCCCTGTAGAAAGAAAAGTCTGCTACATTTCCCAACACAGTCCTTTCTCAGCCCCAATAGAAGAACATGGTGTCTTTAGGAGTAAACTGTCAACTTCTGGCTTCTATCTCAAAAGACAAGAAAAATACTGGCAACTATGTCTTTACGTTTGGCTTATGGGGGTCTTTCTATCTTCCAGGACAGAACATGCCAAATGAAATGGTGGTATACTTTGAAATGACAATTTTAAGTCTTTTGAGATCAAAAGTGAATGTTACAACAGCAGAAAGACTGCAGCACCATGGACATTAAACAGGTGTAGAAAGTACCGACTGTCAAGAAGAAACATGGAGAGGTCTTTTAACTGAAAAAGTAAATACCGAATTGCACACAGGACACATCCTGAGAACAATGTTTGAGAGACTCCCAGAATCTCTAGCCAAGACAATTGGTTATAGGCTATGTCAGAAAAGAGCTGCATTACAAAGATTGTGAAAAGTAGTTTTACGTTAATGTCTAAATCTCAAGCAAAGATTACAATGTACACAAAGAACAACGTTGTTCAATAAAAAAATAAAAAATTGCAATGATAAAAATAAAGATGTGCATATTACCTTTAAAAATTTAAGATAATTCATGCTATGCTCAATGGAAAAAAAAAAAAAAAACCAGACACCTAAATAAAATCAGAAAAATAAAAATAACAAAAGACTTGGGACAATAAAAATAAACAAATTGTGGAAGAAAAAAAAAAACAAAAAAAATGTAAAAAAATTAAGAAGCTAAACAAACAAATTATATTTAAATATAATGATAACAAATTTTTCTATGCCACTGAAGTCACTTTTTAAAATCAGTTTAAAATATACTGTTGTAACAGTAAACTGAATTAGTTGATTTAGAAATGGACAAATGAGCTGGGCATGATGGCTCACATCTGTAATCCTAGAACTTTGGGAACCTGAGATGGCTTCAGATCACCTGAGGTCAGGAGTTTGAGATCAGTCTGGCCAACATGGCAGAACCCCATCTCTATTAAAAATACAAAATTAGCTGGGCATAGTGGCACATCCCTGTAATAGGAGCTACTCAGGAGGCTGAGGCAGGAGAATAGGTTGAATCCAGGAGGCAGAGGTTGCCATGAGCTGAGACTGCACCATTGCACTCCAGCCTGGGCAAGAAGAGCAAAACTCCATCTCAAAAAAAAAAAAAAAAAAAGAAAAAAAAAAAAAAAAAGAAAAGAAAAAAATGGACCAAATGATTAAATTAAATTTTAATTAAAAAGGTATACGAATTGGAAGAAGCATTTGAAAAGTTGCACAAAATTAATAATTATAGAAAAATGAAAAACAAAATCAAAATACAAAACACAATTACCTTACATAGATTTGAATGGCCACTATAATTTCTTTTAAAAACACCAACTATGTTGATTATGTAAAGAAACTGAAACTTATGTAAGTTGTTGATGAGAAAAAAAATGCAGCCATCATAAGAAATATCATGAATATTCTTCAAATAATTAGAAATGAAATTACATAATACAGCAATTCAATTTATGACTCTATATCTAAAATATGCAACACAGTAAAATGAAGACATAAGAGGTATCCTGTTTACATATCCCTTCATAGCAAGTCTCATATGACAACCTCTAAATAAATAAATACATGGATAAAAATTTAAAAATAAAAAAATTTTGTAAAAAACTTTAAAATACATTTCAAGGCTATAGTAATGAACAAGGAATGGCATATGCAGAAAAATGGACAACCACCAATGAAACAGAAACGACTATTCTCACACATTTTACACATGATGCAAAAAAAGATTTTTAAGAATGGTGTAACATAGTTTTTCAAAAATATGCAGATATTTGTGTATTCCCAAAAGCAATGGCAAACCAGTTTGTGCATTACCTTATAAGCCATAAAGAAAACTTTGGCTCACACTCTGAAATTGAAGGAAGATTACTGAAGCAAAAGTAGAATCCTTGGAGAATTTAAAGCCACGAGACAGGTGTCCATATATGAGAGCAAAGGAAAATAATTACTCAGGCTTCTCAGAAACTCCACTGAAGCACAGTTCCCCAGAACACATTTGAAGGACTGTATTCCTCCTTGACTTTTGTGCCTCTCATTTGTGTCATCCTGCTTCTTTTACTCTCACTTACCTGGGTGTTTAGCTACCATCTCATTTCTCTTTATATTCCAGGGCTCTTTGTTTTGCTCCAGATAGGTGATTAAGTCTGGCTTAGAGACAGCAATACCTGTTTTATTATGAAAAAAAGGTAACATAAATCTTAGTAAATTCTTTAATTACCAACCTAGTATTGTGCTTAGTAAAGAGGATATAATACAAAATTCCAGAAAATTAATATTGATTCATAACAGAACTTTCTAAATATTTAGAATGTAGGTCCTTAATTTCACACTTCAGTACTACTAAATCAAAAATTGATGGTGGCAATTGAATTCTAAGATGTGGGCAATGACATTTTATGCCACAATAGTTTTGGAATTGCCACTATCCTAAAACAAAGGATGCATAAGCTCAGGAAAGGGAAAAGTTCAGGTCGAGATAAAACATCTTGAAGAATTTGTTCTACACCAATGAATCTCCAAGAATTTCTTAAAATAGGAGATCTAAAATTAATTCATGCAAACATAAATTACCAAAAAGCATCTTAGAAAAGAAAGGAACTATATTAGGAATTGTGTATGGAAGCTATCCTCACCCAGGGAAACCAAGTTTCTGTAGTTCTCTAACATCACATCTCTATATAAATTCTGCTGAGCATGATCCAGGCATTGCCACTCCTCCAAAGAGAATTCTATGGCTACATCTCTGAATGCCAACAGGCCCTGAAATAAAAAACACTCATGAAGGCACAAACACTTACCAAGTGGCCATAGGCAGAGATTTTTATTTGACTCAAGTTAAAAAAGAGAGTAAAAAGAAGTGGTTTTAACTTATAAGAGTGACTAAAATTATTCAGTAAGATAATTTTTTAACACAGAAGTATTCTCTAACTCTGAGAAAAGAGGATAGCATAAGAGCCACAATACCACTGTAGATCTACTTTTCTAGATGATAAATTATAAAATTAAGTACATAAACATGGACATGTCTTTTTTTTTTTTTTTTCTTTGAGACCGAGTCTTGAGTCTCATTCTGTCACCCAGGCTGGAGTGCAGTGGCATGATCTTGGCTCACTGCAACCTCCGTCTCCCAGGTTGAAGCAATTATCCTGCCTCACCCTCCCAAGCAGCTTGGACTACAGGTGTGAGCCACCATGCCTAGCTAATTCTTCTATTTTTAGTAAAGATGGGGTTTCTCCATGTTGGCAAGCTGGTCTTGAACTCCTGTTTATTTTTCCTTGCCCTCTCCTATTAGACACCAACAATTTTTTTTTACAGTAATGGGAGCATAAACTACACTGACCTCTTCCTTCCAAACTGAAACAGGACAGGCAGTGCAGCATTCCTTTGATGCAAAGGTTAAACTAAACTCTCCTGAATGTATCTTAAACCCGTCAAGTTTATAAATCACTTGGTAATCTTGGCACTGCTTTATGCAATGTAATTCTACAGCATCCAAAAAGGTCTAGGAATGGGCTTTTTTTTTTTCTTTTTTTTATTGCATTTTCGGTTTTGGGGTACATGTGAAGAACATGCAAGATTGTTGTATAGGTACACACATGACAGTGTGATTTGCTGCCTTCCTCCCCATCACCCACATCCGGCATTTCTCCCCATGCTATCTCTCCCCAACTCCCACCCCACACTGTCCCTCCCCTATTTCCCCCCAACTGACCCCAGTGTGTAGTGCTCCCCTCCCTGTGTCCATGTGTTCTCATTGTTCAACACCTGCCTATGAGTGAGAACATGCGGTGTTTGATCTTCTGCTCTTGTGTCAGTTTGCTGAGAATGTTGGTTTCCAGGTTCATCCATGTCCCTACAAAAGGACACAAACTCATCGTTTTTGATGGCTGCATAATATTCCATGGTGTATATGTGCCACATTTTCCCTGTCCAGTCTATCAATGATGGGCATTTGGGTTGGTTCCAGGTCTTTGCTATTGTAAAAAGTGCTGCAATCAACATTCATGTGCACGTGTCCTTATAGTAGAACGATTTATAATCCTTTGGATATATACCCAGTAATGGGATTGCTGGGTCAAATGGAATTTCTATTTCTAGGTCCTTGAGGAATCGCCACACTGTCTTCCACAATGGTTGAACTAATTTACACTCCCACCAACAGTGTAAAAGTGTTCCTATTTCTCCACATCCTCTCCAGCATCTGTTGTCTCTAGATTTTTTAATGATCGCCAAGGAATGGGCTTTTTCAACAAGTCCCCTGTCTTGTTGAAAACTGTCACAATACAAATACTTCCAGTACAAATAAAGACAATCAATCTCCAACCTGAAATATATTTTTTGTTGGCTTTTTTAAGTTTACAGAGACAACAGAAGGCAGCAATGTCTGAGTAAGTCTGCACTTGGGAAAAAGTCCCCAGGATAAAAGCTGATTGTGCTTTCCCAGACACATTATTAGCGTTAGTTAGAAAAAGCAGGCACAGCAGAATCCCTGGCCAGTTGCGGTGGCTCACAACTGTAATCCCAGCTACTCAGGAGGCTGAGTCAGGTGAATTGCTTGAACCCAGGAGGCAGAGCCTGAAGTGTGTTGAGATAGTGCCACTGCACTCCAGCCTGGATGACAGAAGGAGACTCCATCGCAAAAATAAAAAGAGTCCACCACAACTGTCACAATACAAATATTTCTGGTACAAATAAAGACAACAACAAATCTCCATCCTGAAATACATTTTTTGTTGGCTTTTTAAAGTTTACAGAGACAACAGAAGGCAACAATGTCTGAGCAAGTCTGCACTTGGGAAACATGTACTAACAAAGTGTTTGTTGAGCAGGTACTATGTGCTCAGGAGCATGTCACAGAATACTGTGCTGGGAATAACACATAATGTGATTTAATTTTCATAGCACCCTGGAAATTCGTACTAAGTGTTGAATTATTTTTAGCATTTAGATTAAGAGCACAACATTTTCATTTCTTCTTTTGTTTATCTATTAATTTTAACAAGGGAATGTATAGAATAATAATTCAATATGAAACACATCCAAAATGATAAAATTACATAAAAATTGAATAATCAGCTTCTGAATGGCTATTCTGTAAATAATGAAATTAAGGCAGAAATAAAAAAAAAATTGAAACTAATTAGAGGGCTGGGAGCGGTGGCTCATGCCTGTAATCCCAGCACTTTGGGAGGCCAAGGTGGGCGGATCACGAGGTCAAGAGATCGAGACCATCCTGGTCAACATGGTGAAACCCGTCTCTACTAAAAATACAAAAAATTAGCTGGGCATGGTGGCCTGTGCCTGTAATCCCAGCTACTCAGGAGGCTGAGACAGGATAATTGCCTGAACCCAGGAGGCGGAGGTTGCAGTAAGCCAAGATCGCGCCATTGCACTCCAGCCTGGGTAGCAAGGGCGAAACTCCGTAAAAAAAAAAAAAAAAAAAAAAAGAAACTAATTAGAGCCGAAATACAACATACCAGAATCTCTGGGTCACAGCTATGGCACCTGTAAGAATGAAATGTGTAACACTAAACATCCACATCAAAAAGAAAGATCTCAATTTAAAACTTAATGTTATCAATGAAAGAGTTCTGAAAGAGCAAACCAACTTCAAAGCTAACAAAATACAAGAAATAACCAAAGTCAGAGCTGAAATGAACAAGGCTGAAACATAAATATCTATAAAAACAGGCCAGGCACAGTGAGTGGCTCATGCCTGTAATCCCGGCACTTTGGGAGGCCAAGGTGGGTGGATCACAAGGTCAGGGGTTTGAGAACAGCCTTGCCAACATGCTAAAATCCCATTTCTACTAAAAACACAAAAATTAGCCAGGTGTGGTGGTAGGCACCTGTAATCTCAGCTACTTGGGAGGCTGAGGCAGGAGAATCGCTTAAAATCGAAATGTGAGGGTTGCAGTGAGCTGAGATTGTGCCACTCCACTCCAGCCTGGGCGAAAGAGTGAAACTCTATCTCAAAAAAATAAAAAAAAGTCCCACAAAACCAAAAGTTGATTCTATGAAAAAATTAGTAAGATAGATAATACAGTAGACTAATGAAGAAAAAAGAAATAATTTAAATAAACACAATCAGACTAGAAACTGAAAAAAACAGATACTTGTGAGGTTGTGGAGAAATGGAATGTGCATACACTGCTGGTGAGAGTGTAAATTTGCTTAACCATTGAGAAAGGCAGTGTGACAATTTTTCAAAAACCTGAAAGCAGAATTACCATTTGACTTAGCAATCCCACAACTGGGAATACACCCAATGAATGTAAGTTATTCTATCATAAAGACACATGTACACATGTTTTACAGCACTATTCTAAAAGCAGAAACAAGAAATAAACCTGTATGTCTTCAATGGTAGACTGGATAAAGAAAATGTGGTATGTATACACCATGAAATACGATGCAGCTACAAGAAAGAATAACAACATGTCATTTGCAGAAACATGGATGGAGATGGAAACTATTATTTTTAGAATACTAGTACAGGAACAGAAAATCAAATACTGTATGTTGTCACTTATAAGTGGGAGCAGAACAATGAGAACACGTGGACACCAATACACCAATAAGAGAACAACAGACACTGAGGCCCAGTTGAGGGTGGATGGTCGGAGGATGAAGAAAATCAGAAAAAAAATCGGTTGGGTACCTGAGTGATAAAATAATCTGTACACAAAAAACTTATATAACAAACCTGCATATGTACTCCTGAACCTAAAATAAAAGGTAAAAAGAAAAAAATTCGGCCAAGCATGGTGGCTCATGCCTGTAATCACAGCACTATGAGAGGCTGAGGTGGGCGGATCACTTGACGTCAGGAGTTGGAGACCAGCCTGGCCAACATGGTGAAACCCCATATATCTCTACTAAAAATACAAAAATTAGCCAGGCATGGTGGCACTCACTTCTAATTTCAATGACTCAGTAGACTGAGGCAGAAGGATAACTTGAACTTGGGAGGCGGAGGTTGCAGTGAGTCAGATCGTGCCAGAGCAAGACTTGGTCTCAATAAAACAAAACAAAACAAGACAAAAACTTATGGGTGGGAAAGTTCAAGGTAAGTGGAAGGACTGGTTTGCGCTACAGACAGTGGTCCGTGTGGGGCTATACTCTGATTTATTCCTATGTCCATGCAGGCAGATTAGACTGTGATCACGTGGTACAGAACCCTACATTGGTGGAGGAAACAGGTTTCTACTACAGATTCAGTGTTGGGACTCGGAATATGCCAGGGAGCTGTAGGCACTTTGGTGGAATTTTGGTAAGAAACACCGAAAGCTAATGTGCTGCGGTGGAACTCTTGAGGGTGGTGCCTAGTCCTGGGAGGGGTGTGTACACATCAGTGTCTAGTGGGTGTGCTTGTGAATGCATGAGAATCATGTGTTGGCTACTGAGAAAGAAAGAGGTCTGTTTTCACAATTCCTTTTCCTTATGTGGTTAGTCCCCTTTCCCCCTGAGAGGAGACCTAGATTCACAGGACAATATGCAGTGTGACAGCCTGTGTGCAGGAGAACTAAGCCTCCCCTTCCCAGACACCCAGAGGCCCCTCCAGGCCAGGCTCTGTAACATCTTTTTTCTGACACCCAATCTGTGGCGTTTGTTAAACACCAAGCATTTTCCTGTTTCTTTTTCTTTCTTTTGAGACAGAGTCTTACTCTGTCACCCAAGCTGTACTGCAGTGGCTCAATCTCAGTTCACTGCAACCTCTACCTCCCAGGTTCAAGTGATTCTCCTGCCTCAGCCTCCCGAGTAGCTGGGATTACAGGCTCACACCACCACATTCAGCTAATTTTTTCTTTTTAGTAGAGACAGGGTTTCACCATGTTGGCCAGGACTGGCACAAAGCAATTTTTTTTAACATCAACTTGTCTGAGATTTTTGTCCTGATACCACCCAGAGTTAGCACAGACCATATTCAGAGTTCATTCTCACCATATTACACTTGCTGCACATGCTTGTCACAAATCCCAGGGACCCATCTATGCTTCTGAGCTACTGTCTGTAAATTGGGGACTCCCGTAATTCCCCTCAAGTTCAATAATTTGATAGAGATACTCATAGAATTCAGCAAAATTCTGTACTTACATTAACCAGTTTACTATAAAACATGCAACCCAGAAACAGCCAAATGGAAAAAAATGTATAAGACCAAAAAACTAAAAAAGAGTTTGGGAAAGATGGGGCATAAATAATCCTGGCAAATAGCTGTGATTATTAAAATTCTCCAGCCAGGCACAGTGGATCTTGCCTGTAATCCCAGCACTTTGGGAGGCCAAGGAGGGTGGACCACCTGAGGTCAGAAGTTTGAGACTAAACTGGCCAACATGGCAAAATCCTGTCTCTACTAAAAATACAAAAAATTAGGCAGGTGCAGAGGTGGGTGGGTGCCCATGATCCCAGCTACTTGGGAGGCCAGGGCAGGAGAATTGCTTGAACTCAGGAGGTAGAGGTTGCAGTGAGCTGAGATTGCACCACTGAACTCCAGCCTGGGCAATAGAGCGCGACTCTGACTCTAAAATGAAATAATCCAACCTTTGTGTTTTTCAGCAACAGCATAGTAGAAAGACTTTTCCCATGATGACTTAGATGGTGTTATATTTTCTTACTTATCACATAGACAGACATAGACTCTGCAAATTTTCACCTTTTTCTTATAAAATCAGCTAAACACTTTTCTTCAGTGGTCAAAACAAAATACTTTTTAATCAACTTTGCTTAAATTTTTATCTTCTCCCTGGGCTCCTGACTTTTAAGCTATCCTCAGTCTGAGTCAACATACAACCCCATTTTCTGTCTCTTTTTAAGAATCTGTTGACTTCAAGGCAAAACATTTTCTGATCTAGAATCTAATTTTGCCCCTTCTATCATGTTCTTATTCCACCTTCTTTCTAAACTTGTTTGCTATACTCTGTGAAAAAGATAGTCCTTGTCTGCCTAAATGATATCTCCCTGAAAAATCTTATACTTGGTACTTTTTTTCTGTTGTTGGGATTCAGAACATCTTACCTAAATCTGACTTCATTTTATTTCACAAAGTCTAGAAACTGCACCCCAAACAGCAACAATTCCCACCCATTCTAACCCTAACTGCATCTGCCTGTGGGTCCCCAGCTATCCTGGGCTCTGTAGCTTATCTCAGTATAAAGGCTTCTTCCATGGATGGGGTGAGCAGGCTGGGACATCTGCAGGGGTGGCTCCCTAGAAAGAACTGACAAGGACTTCAATAATCTCCTATTGCAGGCTCAATATTAGCCTTAGCTTGGAGTCACAGGGCTAAGCTTTAATTTCCAAGTCAGAGATGGTCACTGAGTTTTTGAAAGTAAATGTCAGATTAATCCAGAAAGATTACTGAAATGCAGTGTTTATACAAGGCAAAAAAAAAAAAAAAAAAAACTTTAAGGTGCTTAAATAGCTCAATGAGAAAAGCAAAAGTATCTCTTTCAGACAATACACATATCATTTACTTATTTCCATTACAGGATATTAGTAAACAATTAGTAATATGAACAAACTTCTTCTAGAAGGTGCCCAGTCCTATCTCATAAAGTTTAGCATAAAATTCAGAAATCAGTTTAATAGGGGCAAGGAGTGGTGGCTCACGCCTGTAATCCCAACAGTTTGGGAGGCTGGGGCAGGTGGGTCACATGAGGTCAGGAGTTCGAGATAAGCCTGGCCAACATGGTAAAACCCCGTCTCTACTAAAATACAAAAAAAATATTTGAGTGTTGTGGCAGGTGCCTGTAATCCCAGCTACTCCAGAGCCTGAGTTGGGAGAATCGCTGGAACCCAAGAGACCAAGGTTGCAGTGAACCGAGAGCATGCCATTCCACTCCAGCTTGGGCAACAGAGCAAGTCTACATCTCAAAAAAAAAAAAAGCATTTCTTGGAAATTACTATGTATGTTGAAGACATAAATTAAGCTTGGTCAACCACAAAATGCCAATTAATCTGATAACATAGTTAATAAATTTTTACCTGAATCTTACATACAAATAAGGAAACTACATAACTGTACCAATTCAATTATTGAATTTGGTTTGCTTCATTATGCAACTTACAACAGACTTTTCTTCAAGTCTCTCCCATGGACCACAACCCATAAACCATAGTGGGGCGCTCTATGATTCTTTAATCACACTTTAATCAAATTCTCTAATATTTTTACAGTAACTCTGATACATTTCTAAAAGGAAAAATAAGGAACTAGGGACCCCAGGTACCACAGCTTTTCCCACTCATGAATCCTGCACCTTGAGTCAGGATTCCCCCCATGACTTTCCCATCCCTGCATAATCTGGGTGAGATGAGGCGCTAGGAGCATAGAGCTACCCACAGAAGGCTCCAGTCCAGGGCAAAGCCACAGCAGAGGAAAAAGACAGAACTCCCAGGGTCCCAGCTGCTGGCCCAGGCACCATCTTACAGCTCCAGGGGACTAAGAACCGAGCTGGGCCAATGAGGATTTGGTTCCTCAGACTTCGGAGCTGACTGCAAGGAAGCTTGGGTCCTGCTACAGCCACTTTCAGCCAGTTCCAACCAGCTCCCACCCCTCTCTCACCATGACAGACTCAGCACTCACCATTTCTCGGCTTCCAAGGGGTCCTGGTCTTTTAGCCATAAATCTGGGAATACCTGCAGGACACAGGGCCACAGAGGCTTGGCCTGTAGGAGTAGAGGACGCAGAGCGGTGAAGAGAAGAACTGGAAGTCTGGATATGGAGAAACACAAAGGACCGGCAACATTACGGAAGCATCCTGTTCTCTCCAGCTGCGCACTTGATTGGACAGTTTCTAATCTACTGCCCCTGATTGGATAAGGTTTCAGGACTTAGCCTTCAGGCCCTGAGTGACAGAAAACTTGATCAGACACTGGGCTGAATGAAGCAAAATTAACAGCCTAGGCTACAGCCTTTACAAGCAGAGGATTTCTTCCCTGATCTGAGCCAGGCCAACCCCAGAGGATATTTGCCTTTAACCTTGTCTGTAACATCATATGTATTTATAATATAGTTATTCATAAATTTAAAAAACAATGACAATTATTTTAAAAATTCGGATTTTATGACCTTCCTTGCTACAGATCCTTTGCAGTGATTTGGTTTGGCTCTGTGGCTCGACCCAAATCTAATTTCATATTGTAATTCTGAGTCGAGTGCGGTGGTTCATGCCTGTAATCCCAGCACTTTGGAAGGCCCAGATGGGTGGATCACGAGGTCAGGAGTTCAGACCAGCCTGGTGAATATGGTGAAACACTGTCTCTAACTAAAACTACAAAAATTAGCCAGCTGTGGGGGTACACACCTGTAGCCAGCTACTCAGGAGGCTGAGGCAGGAGAACTGCTTGAACCCGGCAGGTGGAGGTTCCAATGAGCTGAAAATGTGCCACTGCACTCCAGCTTGGGCTACAGAGTGAGACTCTGTCTCAAAAAAAAAAAAAAAAAAAGGATTGTAATTCCCACATGTCAGAGCAGGGACTGGGTGAGAGGTGATTGGATCACTGGGTCAGATTATCCTCATGCTGTTCTTGTGACAGTAAGAGAGTTCTCAAGGTACCTGATGGTTTAAAAATGTGGCACGTCTCCCCCACCCCAATTCTCTTTTTCCACCATGTAAGATGTGCCTTGCCTTCCCTTCACCTTCTGTCATCGTCATGATTGTAAGTTTCCTGAGGATTCCTCAGTCATTTAGAACTATGATTCAATCAAACCACTTTTTAAAAATATTATACAGTCAGAGGCATTTGTACAAACAGTACAGTAAGCAGTGTGAAAATGGACTAATACATGCGGGCAGCCTGAGATTTCAAAAAGGAGGCAATCTCTGCAGTAAAATATGAACCACATGTAAATTTTGATTTTTCCAGTAACCAAATGTTAAAAACTAAAAAGCAAAAGGTGGGGCTAGGTGCAGTGGTTCATGCCTGTAATTTCAGCACTTCGAGAGGCCGATGTGGTGGACCACCTGAGGTCAGGAGTTTGAGATCAGCCTGGCTAACATTGCAAAAACCCGTCTCTACTAAAAATACAAAAATTTAGCTGGGTGTGGTGACAGGCACTTATAATCCCAGCTACTTGGGAGGCTGAGGAGGGAGAATCGCTTGAACCTGGGAGGCAGAGGTTGCAGTGAGCTGAGATTGCACCACTGCACTGCAGCCTGGTGACAGAGAGACTGTATCAAAATAAAAATGAAAGAAACAGGTGGAATTGATTGTAACAATTTAATGAGCTCAATATATCCAAAATATTCTTATTTTACTATGTGATTAGTATGTAATAGTTAATAAAGCATATAAATTTTTGAAGCTAAATCTGAGCATAACCTTGTATTTTAATTTTCTAGCACACTGCAGTTCAGACAAGCCACATTCCAGCACTCTGTAGCCACATCAGATGCGTTTGAACCAGAGCAACTGCATCTGGAATGGGTGCTGGGTAAAATGGGGCTTAGACTAAGAGTGCATTTTGATGAGGTTAGGCGTTCTAAGTCACAGGATAAACAGGAGATTGGCACAAGATACAGTTCACAAAGACTTTGCTGATGAAAGAGTTTGCAGTAAAGAAGCCACAAAAATCCACCAAAACCAAGATGGGAATGAAAGTGATCTCTAAATGTTCTCACAGATAGTCATATGCTAATTATGATGCATTAACATGCTAAAGACATTCCCACCAGTGCCATGACAGTTAATGAATGCCATGGCAGCATCAGAAAGTTACACTACATGGTCTAAAAAGAAGAGAAACACTCATTTCTGGAAATTGCCCACCCCTTTCTTGTAAAACTCATGAATAATCCACCCCTTATTTAGCATATATTTACATTTATTTCTTGAGTATCAAGAAATAAATGTAAGTATTCTTTATTGAGCAGCTCACATTGCTCTTCTGCCTATGGAGTAGCTATTCTTTTATTTATTTTCCTAATAAATTTGCTTTTGCTTTGCACTGCAGACTTGCCCCCAATTCATTCACTCATTCTTTCTTTCCTTTCTCTCTCTCTCTCTCTCTTTTTCAACAGAGTCCTGCTCTGTCACCTAGGCTGGAATGCAATGGTGACATCTCGGCTCACTGCAACCTCTGCCTCCTGGGTTCAAGAGATTCTCCTGCCTCAGCCTCCCAAGTAGCTGGGATTGCAGGTGCATGCCACCATGCCCAGCTAATTTTTGTATTTTAAGTAGACACAGGGTTTCACCATGTTGGCCAGACTGGTCTTGAACTCCCGATCCACCCACCTAGGTCTCCCAAAGTGCTGGGATTATAGGCATGAGCCACCATGCTCAGCCCCGCCTTTGGATTGATCTGCTTTCAACTTTTTGCTGATGGCTGTGGCTTACAGAATTAGGCCAGTACAGGATCATGGAACATGGGAAGCTTTTTCCTCCCTGAAGTGGAAAACTTGAGAGCTGATTGGAATTCCACAAAAAAGATTCTTTCACAACCAACAAGCAGCCACCTAAACTTCTGATTCAGTGGAATCCATGGGTCTTTCTCTGGCTTTCCTGAGTGCCTCATCTTTCCCGCTGTGCCATAGGCAATGCCTCTCTTTCTCTCCCTCTCTCTTTCCCTTTCCTGTCTTTTCTGTTATCTGGATCACCATCTTACCCAGAGACCACTTGTTGAAACTTCTGCTAAGAAGTCTCTGAAACAGGCCGGGCACGGTGGTGCATGCTTGTAATCCCAGTACTTTGTGAAGCTGAGGTGAGCAAATCACCTGACATCAGGAATTCAAGACCAGCCTGGCCAACATAGCAAAACCTCATCTCTACTAAAAATACAAATATTAGCCAGTTTTGGGGGTGGGCATGTACCGGTAGTCCCAGCTACTCAGGAGACTGAAAAAGGGAAAATTGCTTGAACCCAGGAGACAGAGGTTGAAGTGAGCTGAGATCACACCTCTGCACTCCAGCCTGGGAGACAGAGCAAGACTCTGTCTCAAAAAAAAACCACAAACAAAAAAGAAGTTTCTGAAACAAACAAACAACAACAACAACAACAACAAAATGGGTGAAGTTTCCCTCTTCTGTTATGTTCTTGGGAGTTTGATCTTCTAGCCATGTGGCAGTATTTTCTCTTGGTTTCTACCATCCAGCATACAGAAATTTTGAAGTTTATGTTATAGTCAACCCTAAAAATGATCTGGAACAGTTAGAAATCTTTGCAAGCTCAAAACTGGCTGCTGTCGACTTCTGGGAGACTCCAGTGGAGACTGCTCAGTGCTGTAGCTCAGTAGCTGGGCTTTGCTGTCTCACAGGGGCAGCCTGGGTTCAGAGTTCAATCTGGCTTAGGAAATTCTTTTTTTATTTGATATCTGCATGAACACTTGTTGATTCTCTTCCCCTCCACGAGCCATCTTGGATTTTCCTTTCTCTGAGCTACCTTTGAAGATTCTAGATTTTATAAAAACTGCTTGCATCTTTTGGAAAATACCCTGTACATTGGTGATTAGTTGTATAACCTTAGTTACAGCTTATTAGTTTCAGGAGGTGGAGGTTGCAGTGAGCCAAGTTTTGCCACTGCACTTCAGCCTGGGCAACAGAAGGAGACTCTGGCTCCAAAAAAACAATTTATTGGTTTCACCTGGGAGGTTATGTTAGGTAAGAAAATTAGCTCTCATGCACCTTCTTTGTTTGAAAGTAACACAAATGAAAAGTCAAGTTCAAATTAGAAGCAATAGAAAGTGGCTGCATTTGTTAAAGCATGTTATATAATTTTAGGCCAGAAAAAGTAAAATCACTAGCACTAGCTTGTTAATATTAAGATCCAGTCCTCCTATTCCGAGAAGGAAGCAAGAAAGCCTGGAGGACTTTTGGCTTATCCCTCTTCCTAGAACCTAAATCTGTGGCAACAGCCTGGTCCACCCAATCCCCTAGACTTCCGAGTCACTTTATCATAATCTCCTAAACCTGCATGGACACAGAAATAAGCCAGAGCATAACCCCTTCTAGGCCACTATCAGTACACAAATTAGTCCTCCTGACTCTTCACTGTCTCTGACAAATAGGTCCTATTAAATGAAGTAATTCAAAATTTAAGCAGTTTGTTTTGGGTCTTAAAGGAATGTGAATATGAGACCTGGATCATGCCTGTAATCCCAGCACTTTGGGAGGCTGACGCAGAAGCATCACCTGAAGTCAGGAGTTTGAGACTAGCCTGGCCAACATGGTTAAGACCCCCATCTCTACTAAAAATACAAAATGTAGCTGAACATGCTGGCATACACTTGTAATCTCAGCTGCTTAGGAGGCTGAGACAGGAGGATCGCTTGAACCTGGGGGGCAGAAGTTGTAGTGAGCCAAGATTGTGCTATTGTACTCTAGCCTGAATGACAGAGCAAGACTTTGTCTCAAAAAAAAATCAAACAAAATTAACCATGCATAGTGACACATACCTGTAGCTTATGTTCTCAGCTACTTGGGAGCCTGAGACTGGAGGATCACTTGAACTCGGGAGGCAGAGGTTACAGTGAGCCAAAATCATGCCATTGCACTACTGTCCGGGCAACAAGAGCAAAACTTCATCTCAAAAAAAAAAAAAAAGCTACAGAATATGGATAGATTTCTATCTCTTCTACAGCATCTCTCCTAAGGACAATTATTTGTTTGAATTTCTGCTGAGTCCTGAGGAAGCTGTCACAACCACACCAAAGTGTACTTTTGTTCCCAGGTGTTCTGTCCCAGGGAGTTAGGGCTTTATTTATGAGTTTCCGTTGTGCTCCTGCCTTTTTTTTCAGGGCTGCCCTGCTCAGCTAGGAGGCAGCCTAGTCACTGTCTGCCTGCAGAGACTTTGCTGAGCTGCTGTGGGCTCTGCCCAGCTTCGTGTGAACTTCCCTGCAGTCCTGTTTATATGGGTATAGTTAGAACTGCCTCAGCAGTGGTGGCCCACCTCTGTATTGGCAGACTCTTTCTGTAATGGCGGGTTGCCTTGGCAATGGTAGGCTG